TCCGACTAAATTATTCAGTCTTTTTATTTTCCTTCTTTTATATGATGTTTATTACTTTGTTATAATGATATAATTTGTAACAGTTTTGATTCATAAGCATCCCTTGCGAAAGAGCAAATGCAATCAGCAGATAATTCAATGAATCACTGTCAGCAAAGATTGTTAGCAAAGATGTTCACAACAGATACAAAACAAAAAGCGAATAATGGTAAAGATCTTCATTTTAACATTTGTTTCTACTTTGATATTATCGTAATATGCTGGTATCACTTGTAAAGACAGGACTTGGACAAAGATTAAAAAACAACAATGAAGATCGCTATCTATGACGAAATTAGAATCCGATATCTTGATATGCTCTCAATTCAGGTTTGCCTCTCAGCGAAGCAAAGAGATAGCTCTGGGGTTACATCATTTGACTGCATGCACAAAGTGTGACATTGTATTTTAGGAGTTTAGTAAGGACTATTCAAATAGTGATAGACTTATACAATCTAGAAAATACAGTATTTTAAAATGATGGTTTTGAGATTCGAAAAATAGATTTATTTTAGAAATGAATAAATAATTACCATAGACCATTACAATTCTAGGGGCATTGCTTCAAACAGGATGACTTATAATTGTGACTAAATGCCTAACACAAAAAAATATTAAAAACCTATGAAGAAAGAGGAAGATTTGCTTGCGTTATTTACATTACTCAAATTGTTATCTTCATCTTTGTTGGCATATTTACAACATTTCAGCCGTTGTATGCTCCGGCCTTCTTCAGGTGATTGGAATTTGGAGAAAGACGGAGCGTACAACGACCAAAACGTTGTGAATATGACAGTGAAGATGAGGATAACAGTCCAAGTAATGTAAATAATGCAAGTAATCATTTTACCTCATCTCAGAAATCCAATCACCTGAAGAAGGCCGGATCCTACAACAACCGAAACGTTGTGAATATGCCACTGAAGATGAGAATAATAGTTCGAGTCATGTAAATAATTCAAGTTATCATAATACCTCATCTCAGAGATCCAATCACCTGATGAATGCTGGAGCGTACAATGACAGAAACGTTGTGAATATGGCAATGAATATAAGGATAACAGCCTGAGTAATTTAAATGATGCAAGTTATTATAATATCTCTACTCAGAGATCCAATCACCTGAAGGAGGCCAGAGCATACAATGACCGAAACATTGTGAATATGGCAATGAAGATGAGGATAACAGTCCGAATCATGTAAATAATGCAAGTTATCATAATACTGCATCTCAGAGATATAGACTGATATTGGAAGATATGATACTCACAAGACATACTGAAGGCATGAGGAACAGGAAAAACAATGCATAATCTGCCTAGCATTCTTGTATAAATGGTTGGCATCATAGGTTTTGGGAGAGATTACAAAAAGACAAAATTTATTAAGGGCTATGAAGATCAGGAAACTGTGAAGAGCCATGATTGCCAACATCCCAAAGAGACATGGTACATAATTGAAAAAGGCGCTGACAATGGAAAGATGGTTAATAAGCTTTTCTCAAAGACTATTTTTTATCACCCATGCAAAGGCAGCAAAGCCACTAAAACACAAGGGGGTTACAGCGTGTGGAAGAATTAGGAACAGAAGCATTAATAATGAGTGGGAAAAGTAAAGAGTACTCAGGAAGGCAGCCTTCAAAAAGCTAAGCAATGTATTAAGAAACAGGAAAATATCGTTAGATACAAAGAAAGGAGTACTGAACTGTTACGCGATAGCTGTCTCCTATAGGACAGAGAATGCTGGACAATCTCTACAAAGATGAGGAAGAGACTTGAGGCAACAGAAATACGGTTCTACAGAAGGATGCTGAGAATACCTTGGACTGAACATGTGTGCTATGACAAGGATTTAGAGAAAATGGAAGCAAAAAAAAAAACACTTAAACTAAGAGATAGTTGAAAATTTTAGGGTACATAATGAGAAAAGAAGACTTGGAAAATTTGACACTCAGAGGACAGATTGAAGGCGAAAGGAACAGAGGTAAGCACTGCATAGCTGACCTAAACAGAACAGGGTTTAGGAGAGATAGCAAAAAGACAAAAAGAGCGATAGGAAATTGTGGAGAGCCATGATCGCCAACTTCCTGCAAGACATTTGTAAATATTATAAATAGTGGAAAATCTGAATCAGCAAACTGTCTTCAAAACATGTTTATGTTAAGTTTACACCTGATGTCTTTTGGCAGAGGCATGACACTGTCTTACCTAGATGTCTGATAGTTGTGCACATACTGTTTTAAGTTTAATGTTCCAATGATGAGACCCAGGTTCAAATCTCACCAATGTCAATTTGTCATGATAATGTCTTAATAATCTTGGACAGAGAAGATTCTTTATCTTGACAAGAGTCAGATCAGATCAAAAATGGCATCTTGCTGTCCACATCTGGACCGGAGTTTTATGATCTTCACTTGCCAGACACGATTGAGTTCAAGAGCTTTGTGGATGATGAATTGTTTTCCACCTTTCTACCCAATTCCCAGGGAATAAACGTTTCTAGCCTCTCGTTACTCTAATACTATTTTCATGGCAGATGTTTGGGCGAACTACAATCATCAGTTCCACCAGTTCAGACCTTCACAGCCAGATACTGCAATGCCATATACATTTAGTTGAACCATTCTCATTCCGTTCATTTGGTTAGGAGTAGGTTCCAAGAACAGTTGCAATAATGGAAATGACTCCTGAGAGGATGCTTCCCTGATCACTAAAATCTTAGCCACATGAAGTCAAGTGTCAATATTCTCTATTACTGTATTATCAATCATAATATGCAACCTTTTCTCCCCACTATACATCCTTTCAGCATCCCCATTAGAAAACCTTGAATTGTCTCAACATGTGAAACCATTGGAAAATGCCTAAAAACCATACGAAGAGTTGACCCAAGTTTTGGGATGAAAAATTATGTACATGAAACTGTTCAGAATCCTTTGATGGCTGTCGTAGCATGAAGTTAAAAGTCATCGGGGTTAAGGGTTTGAGCACTCACCCCCAGAAAATGTAACTACGGTCAACTCAGTATGGTTACACTTTACGTCACAGGTTGTCTCTGCACATGTTGAAGATTTAAAAATGTGCCTGAGCAGGTGTCTGCAACAGAGACTTGCAAGTTCACTTAGCAGATAGGTGTTGTGGAGTTATTTCGCAGTGGAGGCTTGTATTTGTACTAGATCGGTCCTAAAATAGGTTCGACTTACAAAACGTTAGGAACTTGATATAATAGGTATTACGCAGAGTAATCTTGTTGTGTTCGCTGACTACTTTCGTATTCGACTAACTGTCAACTACTGTCGTCCGACATCGACTAACCCTCGTTTCTCTTACTACTCCTACTTATATTAGGTCGGAGAGTCTATTAACTATAGAATAGGTGTGTTTCACCATAACAATAGGTATACTGAGAGACATATTTCTGCCTTCCATCAGTATGGCTGATGCTAACCTCTAGGAGAGTGACTCATTGAAACTTCTTCAGCTAACATGAAATGGAAAGACTCTATTGAATCCATTGCTAGGTCAGCTGCTAAGAAAGTTATTCCACTGCATCGGGCAAGACAATTTTTCTATCCAGAATCTATCTTACATATCTACAGCTTTGTGCAAATTAACTGAAACAACTGCTTTAGTATCTGTCTATATTTCTGAGATGAGGTATTATGTACACGATTTACATTATTTGGACTATTGTCCTCATCTTTGTCACCATATTATTACAACGTTTCGGCTCTTGTACGCTCCGGCCTTGTTCAGGTGGTTGGAATGTCGAACTAAACCCTTTATTTCGCTCACTGTTCTAGTTCCACATGCCATGTTTAATGAATGTCAGTTGTCAAGTTATCTCCTGTTAATTCCCCTCTCCAAGTTCTCCACTGCCTTGACCGGGTATTGAACTGACCCTCTTTGGGTCCTGTTACTGTATCTAACCAACGCCTTTATCCACTTGGGGTGTATGATTAAATTTGTTTGGCCTTAAAAATATTGTTATCTGTGATTGCATCAGATTTTTATCATGCCTAGACACTATTGTCTCGACTGTCAATTAGTTGTCCTACAACCATTGTCTGCGATGGATGTTACTCCAAGGAAGCAAATGAAAATTGTAACACTGCATGAACACACTGGCAGTTACCAGTGAGCAAATCAAAGTATTATAGACTTGACTGGAAACTCTCCTGGTTTAAATCTAATCGAGAATTTGTGGTTAATCAGCAAAGAACAACTTCATGGAATTGACATACGAAGTACTAACATGTGCACTTGATCATGTTTCATTGGAAAAATACAAAAAAAAAAATTAATTTGCCCAAGGGTGGATAAGTCTACCATATTCCCATGTTTACAATATTGCTGCCGCATATGATCTGGTGCTTCTGCTATATATTTAAAGATTCTTGATAAAATCCAAAGAAGGATCAGCAATATTATTGGTCCTGACCTGGCATCTCAGCTTCAGTTACTTTCCTACTGCCATAAAGTTGGTTCCCTGCGCCTTTTCTATAAATATTTTCGGGTAATTGTTCGGATGTGCTGTTTGATATGGTATCTAAAATTAATGAGTTTAAGTGCAGTATGAGCCTAATGACAAGGCGTCACCAATTTACACTTGAATTGGCTGTAAGTTCTATGTTAGCAATTTCTTTCCTTTCACTTCTCCATTGTGGAACTCTCTTTTACGGGCAACATTGATCTTCAAAAATGTGAATGCAATGTGAATCGTTATCTGTTGTCTTCCTAATTACTCTTCTTCTCTTCTCGCTCCTTACTAATGTTTCTGTTTTCTAATTTTTCCGCACCCATTAATCCCTTGTGTCTTAGCGGCTTTGTTGTCACTTTATTTAATTTTAAAAAAATCTTGTGTAACATTTATTTTTTCCTTTTCATGATTTAAATTTGTTTATTCGGTTTTTTTTTCTATTATTTTCTTACCTTTTTTATTTCTTCCTCTATGGCTGCTACATGTTCTTTCTTTCTTTCTTCTCTCTATCTTTCTTTTCTGTCTTTCTTTTCTTTCTATTTATTTCCTCCTTTCTCATCTTTTCTTTCTTTCCTCCTTATTCTGTTTCTTTCTTTCTTTCTTTCTTTCTTTCTTTCTTTCTTTCTTTCTTTCTTTCTTCTCCCTATCTTTCTTTTCTGTCTTTCTTTTCTTTCTTTCTATTTTTTCTTCCTGTCTCATCTTTTCTTTCTTTCCTCATTATTCTCTTTCTTTCTTTCTTTCTTTTTCTTTCTTTCTTTCTTTCTTTGTTTTTATCTCGTGTTTTCTTTCTCTTTTTCTTTTTTCTCGTTTCTTCCTTTGTTTTATCTCCTTTCTTCCTTTCTTTCTTTCCACATTATTATATTTCATTCTTTGTTTGTTTATTTATTTATTTATGTCTTTCTCTTCCTTTCTCTTCCTTTCTTTCTTTCCTTATTATTTATTTCTTTTTCCTTTCTTTCTTTCTTCATTATTCTGTTTAGTCTTTTCTTTCTTTCTTTCTTTCTTTCACTTTCTCTTCCTTTCTTTCTTTCCACATTTTTCTGTTTATTTTTTCTTTCTTTCATTTCTATTTTTGTTACTTTCTCTTCCTGTTTCTTTCCTCATTATTCTATTTCTTTTTCTTTCTTTCTTTCTTTCTTTCTTTATTCTGTTTAGTCTTTTCTTTCTTTCTTTATTTTTACTTTTTCTTCTTTTAAATTTCTTTTTTCTTTTCTTTTTACCCTTTCTTCTTCTTCTTTTTAAATTTCCTTTTCTTTCTTTCTTTCTTTCTTTCTTTCTTTCTTTCTTTCTTTCTTTCTTATCTTTTTTACTTTCTCTTCTTCTTATTAAATTTCTTTCTTTCTTTCTTTCTTTTCCCTATCTTTCTTTTCTGTCTTTTCTCTTTTTAATCTTCCTCTTTCTTTCTTTCTTTCTTTCTTTCTTTCTTTCTTTCTTTTTATGTTGTGTCAAAAGACAACTGACCTTCTCTACACTAATTCTTGAATATCAACTAGTATTTGAGTCATACACACTGCTGTACTGAACTACGCTATTCTCTATTATTGTATTATTAATCCGTGTCTATCACGTGATTAAACCTGTTCTTCACTCAACCTTTTGGTTCCTGTATTTTCCTTACAGTCTTGCTAACCAATAACTACGAACATTAGACAAACTTTACAATACTTTCTTTCCTTCATGACACTTCATCTCTCTCTCTCTCTCTCTCTCTCTTTCATTTTTCAATCTTTGTTGCCACTCACTTGCTTATGATTGGTACTTTCTTTTTCTTTTTCTCTTTTAACTCTTCATTTCTCTCTATTTTTTCTTTCTTTCTCTGTTCTTTTCTCCGTTTTCTTGATCACTTTTCTCTTTGTTTCTTTCTTTTTTCTCTTCGTTTCTTTCTTTTTTCTCTTCATTTCATTTTCCTTTCTTTCTTTTTTTCTCTTCATTTATCACTCTTCACTCTATGTCAGTTTCTCTTTCTTTTTTTGTCATTGTTTTCTTTTCTTCTGCTCTTCTCTTTGCGTTAGTCATTCTTTCATAATATTTTCTTTTCCTTTTCCGTCATTTCGTCTTCCTATCAGTCTCTCTATCATGACTTTTGTTAGTCAGACTTTCTTATTTTTTTCTTCCTTTTCTTTTTTTTTTGTCTTCATCTCTCTTTTTTTATTTTCGTAATGTTCGCTCTTTCATAACTTTTTTTATTTTTTCTTCCTTTACTTTTTCTTTCTTTTTCTTTTCATCTCTCTTTTTTATCATTATATCAGCCTCTCTTTCATGACTTTTATTAGTCACTCTTTTTAATTTTTTTTTCTTTTTTCTCTTCGTCTTTCTTTTGTTGTTTTTCTTCATATCGGTCTCTCTTTCACAAATTTTGTTAATCACTCATTCTCATTTTTTTCTTCCATTTTCTTTTTCCTTTTTTTATCTTCATCTTCATATTTTTTTGTTCATTATATTGGTCTCTCTTTCATGGCTTTTTTTTTCTTTTTGTCTCTTTTTTTTCTCTCTCTCTCTCTCTCTCTCTCCCGGCTTTTGTTAATCTCTCTTTTTCATTTTTTCTTCCGTTTCTTTTTTGTAGTCATCTCTTTTTTTATCTTCATATTGGTCTCTCTTTTCCCTTTTTCTCTCTTTTCTCTCTTCATTTCTCTCTTTTCACTTGACGCTTGTCAGTTTTTCTCCTCCCTTTTGCACTTTTCTGTCTTTTCTCTTTTTCTTTTCTTACTTTTTCTCTCTTTTCTACTTTTTCTCTTCCCATTCTTTTCCACTTTCTTTCTCTCTCATCTTCTGCTTTTTTTTCCTTTATTCATCTTTATTTCATCCTTTCTTCACCCTCCCTCTTTCTCCGTTTCTTTCCTGTTACCTAAGACAATAATCTGTCTGAAAGAGATATTGACTCAATAGCTGCTGATCTATATTCTCTCTTGACTTGATCTAAAGCCAACTGATCCCCTCATCACAGATTTAGATCAAGAGACATCTTGCAACACTTGACTCAAATCCCTTCGTCAATTACTCAGAGCATCCGACATGTCGAGACACTTTGTTTGAACCATAGCAACAAAGAGCCAAAACCCAAAATGTCCAGACGAAAATTTATCCAAAGATCTGACTAATTCCATCACGCAGTTCTTCAATCACTCTCTAAAAAAGACTTATGGCCATATTATGCTGAAACACCAATTCTCACAAGATCACCAAAGTTAAGCAAAATCAGTACTTATATGGGTGACCACTTTGGTAAAAATTCCCTATGTATATACATTTTAAGACATTTTTATGTTTATACATTCTTTTTATAGATACAAGTATATGCTCTGTTTATAATAAACAGTATTAAACAACATTTAACCGCCTGAATATCTGAGAAATTTTCATAGAAAATATTCGTTCTCCGACAGGTATTAAACCTGTATCCTATATGGAACCGTCATATAGCCTGACGTGCCTTTAACCGATTTGGCCACAGAGGATTGTATTGGTTAGCAAGGTCGATTTTACTGTCTTTGAACTACAATCTTCCATGATTCAAATGATTGCATAGAAATGAATACAATATGGGAACCAGTAATAAGGATTGCCAGAGAAAAGCGATCATAACAACAAAAATTGCAATATGAGCTCAGGTAAAAACATGTAATGATAACAGCAAAAAATTGCAATATGAGCACTGGTAAAAAATGATGGCTGAAATATTAGGTTTATAATACCCAGAAATTCATACACATGGCACAGTGGATAAAGGCGTTGGTTAGATCTAGTGACAGGACCCAAAGAGTGTGAGTTCAATACCTGGTTAAGGCAGTGGAGAACTTGGAGAGGGGAATTAACAGGAGATAACTTGATAACTGACATCCATTAAACATGGCATGTGGAACTAGAACAGTCTACCCTAGTGAGTGAAGTAAAAGGTTTAGTTCGACATTCCAACCACCTGAAGATGGCCGGAGTGTACAATAGCTGAAATGTTGTAATAAATATGGCGACAATGATGAGGACAATAGTCCGAATAATGTAAATAGTGTAAGATACGGCTTGTTCAATCTCCCGTTCTTGCATTCCGCACATTTCACTAATGTAAAACCGTTCTGCCTTCTCACTGCTTCAGAAAAAAAAGCAAAAGAAATACATTTTCTTATGATGCTAGTAAAAGAGCCGGAAATTTTATTACCCCACTTGGCTTCATCAAACATCCATTAGGTGGAGCTGTTTAATTTCTATAAAATGACAAAGCTTTCCTTCCTCTTTCTCTTCTTCCCCTTGCTCCAAGATGTAGCAGGACATGGATGAAGACATCCCTGCTGGGAAAGTCTCTTTTGCCCATTTGATTGACAACTAAAATCTGTTTCCACTTTGTGACTCCGAGTGATTTTTCTCTCGTATACTTTATACAGGGAGATGCAAAAGTGGGTATACAGGAAAAATTATTTTGCTTTTTCATTACTGTATACCTATTTTCTCATCCCCCTATATATAATACTAGCAGCATGGCCCGGCGTTGCCCGTGCTTGATTAAAATATCGTACGACTTATACAGCAATCGCTATCACTTGACTTAAAATATTTTTACCCGTCCTTGCCTTTAAAGGAGTGCCCCTTGCTGTGCTGATGTTGCTACATGCTTTACTTCTTGCCTATCTAACACTGTGAATTTTTTCTAAGCTCTATACTAAACATTCAATCTGTTACGAAAAAAAGAACTAAACAAAATGAACACAAAACGATCAGCTTTAAAAAGGATTCGTAACTGGAAAAACCGAATGAAAAAAGAATGTTAACAACAAATACTTTTTCACACCCAACCCAGTTCTACGGAATCAGAATCAACGTTGAGTTTAAGCAAGCGAATGAGCCAATTGGAGTAAAGTGCCATGCAGATTTAAATTTTCCCACTTGTGACGAATGCAGCTATTGATTTTTTTGCATGCTAGCATGCTAGTTAACATTCGTGTCAGTCAGCTGTTGGCTCTCACGCTGGCCAATAGAATCTTCTTGCTTATTTGTGGCAGCCAGCTATAGGCTCTCACTCTGGCTAGTAGAAAATAGTTGTGAACTACATGAAAACTGCCGTAGAAGCATGAAAAAATCGATTATTTCCACTATCGATGGGAGTTGGGAAATGCAAAGTCGGTCTTGGCCGTCCCGCTAACTTGGAGCATGTGCATGTAAAGTTGGTGCAAATCCGTCGAAAATTGTGGTGGTGCATTTGTTACACACACACACACACACACACACACACACACACATCCTGACTTTTATAGATAGAGATATTATAGTTTGCGGTTTTAATTACAAACTATCTCATGCCTTACTAACAGATTTCCAGTACATAAATTAATAAGAAAAAAATTCCCCCAAAAATGTCCTTCATTTTATTTCTCATTAAGAAAGAAGACAGACAGGTTGAAAAATTCCGATTTTGAGCAACCATTTTCATCATACTTTCATTTGATCAAAATACCTGCTAAGGATATCATGGACCAAGCGTGTGAGCAATGATGAGGTCTTAGAGAGGTTACAAACAATCAGAAGGCTTATACTTAATATCAGGAAGAAGCAGCTGAAGTTTCTGGGACACATAATGAGGAAGGAGGGCCTGGAGAATCTGATACTCACAGGTCGAATAGAGGGAAAGAGAGAAAGCAGCATGTGACATACCTGATGGGCTTGAGCAGGTAGATGACAGAACGTGGCCTGGGGGAGAAAGCAGAGGGAAGGAGCTTGCTGAGTCCTGCAAAGGATAGAGGGTGTGGACAGCCATGATCGCTACATTCTGAAAGGACAGGGCACATATGCTCCTGAAAAATTTATTTCAGTTTTGGTCTCTGGGGAGGAAGTGTGGGTTTGTAAACAGTGACTATTATGGCTGATATAGCGAGACTCTTCAGTAAATCGAATAAAGTTCTCTCAGTTACTGTGTTTATCTAAAAATAAATACGCTTAAATTCACTTTCATCCCTGCTGTGCGCCAACGGCTTTGTGGTAGAATCCCCGACTGATGCCAATTCAGTCGGGTTTCGATCCTAGGTAGAGGCAACCGGATGTCTAGCCACACTGATGAGCTGTGATACAGCGAAACAATCTGCCTGTGGATGACTATATATATATATATATATATATATATATGTGTGTGTGTGTATATATATATATCAAATATATGGTGCAGTTCAATTTATATTACAATGAATCATTCATACAAAAAGTAGGTTAGTAAAGTTAATGATATAAAATGGTGAAATCTTTTCACAAACAAAATTTTATAGGTGCATTAACCTCCAAATCACTCGATGAATGTTATGAGCCTTGTTTTCAAAAATTATAAGCTGTATAAGGTCTTTCTTTAATACACAAGTACTTTCGACTGTACATTCAGTCATCTTCAGGCATGGAAATTATTTTGTTTTTTGGTAAAATTCAGGTAGCATGCATTGAAAGTACTTGCGTATTAATGAACGACATTATACAGCTTATATATGGACATTTTCACAACCATAAAAGCATTGGCAAACCTCTTATTTTTCACCAATATGGAACCAAAACTCATGCACGCCAGAGGAAGAAAAGAAATATATATAGGTATAAAATATATATATATATATATATATATATATATATATATATATATATATATATTATATATCCTATATATATATACAGGATCAAACTAGGGCAACCAGTAGTCTAGCCACACTGATGAGCTGTGATACAATGAAACAATCTGTCTGTGAATGACAATATACATGCTACTGAAAAATTTATTTCGGTTGAGATCTCTGGGGAGGAAGTGTGGGTTTGTAAACAGTGACTATTACGGGTAATAATGTAAGACTCTTCAGTAAATCGAATTAAGTTCTCTCAGTCACTGTGTTCATCTAAAAATAAATACACTTAAATTCACCTCCGTCCCTGCTCTGTGCCAACGACTTAGTGGTAGAATGCCCGACTGACGAAAATTCAGTTAGGTTTCGATCCTAGCTAAAGACAACCGGACGTCTAGCCATCATTGATGAGATGTGATACAGAGAAAAAATCTCCCTGTGGATGACAATATATATATATGCACAGACAGACTGTTTTGCTGTATCACAGTTCCTCAGTGTGACCAGACGTCCGATTGGTATAAGCCAGGATCGAAAACCAACTGATTTGACATCAGGCAGATATCTTACCTCTAGGCCATTGCCACACCGCAGAAAAGAAGCAAATTTTAACATCGTTCTCTATATGAAGTATGTCACCAGCTCAGAGAATTCAATTTACTGGAAATGTAATGCTTAATAG